CGGCTGGGAGATTACGACGGCAGAATAGCCCAGAAGTGCCAGATCATTCGACGACGACCCCTAAATCGCCAATTTTGTCACCATTGGGGCGATCGAGCGTCGTTTCGTCTGATGCCTCTACTCGTTCGTGGTAGGGGCTGTGGTAGCACCGATCTGCTCAAAGGGCGTCCGCATAGGCAGTTCACCCCGGCCAAGAGCCTCCGACCAACATGGGCAGTCCGATGCGACCAACACCACCGATCGCGGACTCGACATGCGTTGACCCAGCCACGACCAGCCAATAACAAAGAGATTGCATCGTGGATGACACAGAGAAAGAACCAAGACTCGAGGCGGTGAGGTATCACAGCAGTTCCAGTATCGGGGGAAAGGGAGAACAGGCGCCAAGGGATACGACAACCCGTCACACAAAGCCCTCCTGTCTCTCCAATTTGTGACACCTTCACCGTTTGGCAGCTCCGTGTCTTGGATTGAGAAACGGGCTGCATCGCCGCATCATAACGAAAAGGCTCAGGCAACTGTCTCAATGCCAGCTCTCGTGAGGCTCGTTGGGAAATGCAGCGGCGGCCGTGCCTGGAGCACCGTTTTCCGCCAGACATGGACGCTTACCGGCAGGCAGTGGATGCCGCGAACACGAAGGTTGGCTTATCGATACCTTGCCGTTGATCCCTCGCCGGGCGTGCCGGGGAGCTCTCAGCTTGACCACCGAGGCGCAGACTGCGCAGTGCATTTGCGGGTCTGTCTCCTCGCCTGAGGAGACTTGTCGATCGCCCAGCACGATAGGTCGAGACAAGCAAACGCTTGGCAGGAACAGAGGCTGATGATGTTCTCGTCTTGCTAATGGTCCAGGCGCGCAATCTCAATAATCACGGCTGCATGTTGCGTTTCCGATAGCATCTACTAAGGAAACACGCCGCTTCAAATGATTTGGCATGGAGCATCGTCAAGCATATCACCCTTAGGCCCATAGACAGCCTCTATTCTGCGATCGTTAGATCTCAGAGATGGCACAGAAACGAGAACTTCAATGCACTTAGATCTAGGTGGACGTTCCGAATTAGCCACGAGATGCCGGCTTAGCCAGTGCCACATCGACGTGCCAGGAGAGCCGACTTTTTCGTATTACAATTTAGCTCAAGTAACGGCTTGCAACCTTGCGTAGAGCTATCAAAGACTTGGGACACAACGGGCAAAAGTATAATCCACGGGGAAATACTGCAACGGCGGGGTAAACGTCCAGCAGAGCCAAAGCATTGAGGGGAAGTTCAAGCTTGCTTGGCCTCTTCAGACGGAAGAACAATGCATATCAGCTTTAGGCTGTCACACAATTGAGCCTATCACTAAGCTACCGGCTCCTACACTAACCTAGGACCGTCGTGTCTGTGCCGCTCCTCGCCGGGCGTCAGCGTCACTCGTCCCGCATCGGTATCATCCTGCAGCCTCACTGCCCCGCCAAGTGGACTTCATACTCCATTATCTCCTCGGATGCTCCGATGTTGACTTGAGCGAATCGAAAACACAAAGACTTTGGCAAGGCCTGAGATTCTTCCCGAGACATCATCTCGAGCAGAGAGGGGCTATCCCTTGTATCTTTATACCCAAAGCTCCAAAGTACCTTTGTACTATCCCCCGGCCCGCACCGAACCCCGCGCGAAGAGCTTCCCGCTGACCCCGCGAACCCCGGAATTGCCGTCCTCAACTTGATATCTCTGTCTGCAGAAGAAAGCGAACTCGCCCTCGCCGTCAAAATCGAACAAGCTCGCAGCGATGGCCGTCACGGAGCTCGCTCTTCTCCAATTCAAGGAGCCCCTCACCGAGGAGGTCAAGGAGCTCATGGACTACTGCCAGACCGTCCAGGACACCTGGGTTCTGCGCCAGAAGCCCGGCCTGCCGCCGACCCGGATAGAGCGCGGCACCGCCATCCTCCAGCAGGTCGAGGACCCGACCGTAATACTCCTGGCGGCGCAGTGGGATTCGCCGCAGGCGCATGGGGAGTGGATCGCGTCACCCGAAAACCAGAACGTCATGGCCAAGCTGATGCCACATATTCACATCGAGGGTCCGCGAAGCGTGCTATTCTTTCACATTGACGCGCCCATCTTTGCGACGCTTGCATCAGCACCGTCGGAGACGAAGGAGGGGGCTGCAGAAGCGGAGATGGACTCCAAGGGCAAGCAGCCGGAAGCGCCGGTACCCGAGGAAGAGAGCAAGGCAGAGGGCAAAAAGAAGGCGCAAGACGAGCCGCCATCCCTCCTGAAGGCGCCGGTGCTCAGCGTCGGGCGGTTCGGGGTGAAGTCGGAGAAGAGGGAGGAGTTTGTCAAAAAGTACGCCGAGGCCAAGTGGGTTGTCGAGGAGTCGTCGAAGCCGTTTCCCGTCCGCGGCGGCTGGCGAATTGAGAAAGCCGCCGAGGACCTCGAGGAGTATGTCATGTACTGCGGCTGGGAGACGGTGGAACAGCACAAGGCGATCGCGGAGCACGAGGGGTTCAAGGAATGGGCTGGCATTCAGGAGTTTGTGACGGGGACAGACATTTGGCACTACAAGCGGCTCATGTGAGGGGGCTATGACGGTACGGACGTCGATAGACCAGAGACACGGAGCCTTTGGCGTTTAGATGGTAGACGGCCTCCAAGAGTGTTGCTAGCACTGTCCGGTTTGCAAGAGGACCGTTAGAGAAGAGGGGCACGGGCGGTGGCAGTCTTTTGTGTTCAATGGTTTCTTCGTTGGCGGGAAATGTCTGACTAGCAACAAACGTTGGCACAGTCTCCATCTCATCTCGCAAATTGCCTAGGTGATATTCCTCGACGCCATGTTATGTGGTGACGCAGGTTGCCTTCCCCGTTCCCGTACCATTCAAGGTACAGAACCGAGAGAAAACAAAACACTACGCTTTTCAAAACCTCATTTTCCCCCAAATAGACCGACCGGCCAATAGCCCCACGAAAAAACACAGAACCCAGGTGGGGGAACGAGTCAAAAATTCATTCCATTGACCTCATGACAGGCTATCCGTACTCATGCTTTTATATCCCCATCGAAGCTCAAAGTTTTCCTTTTGACGATTTTTGTTTCGAGACGTTTTTTACGGGAATCCCTTATGCGGAGGACTTGCCCTTGGGGTTCTTCTTGGGGACGTCCTTGATCTGGAGCTCTGCAGGGAAATGGTGGTTAGCGACAGTTTGATAAATTCGCGATTGTCCCCCGTCTGCATTTTCTCCTTTCAGTATCCCTCGACTGCGTACGAGGTCTTTTTTTTTTCCGAAAGGGAAATTCGAGGGGTAGAACTGCGCCGAGGGATGATCTAGAAAGAGAGTTCAAAACGTACGAGGGGGGAGGGACTGCTTGAGCTTCTCGGCCTTGTCGGAGTCCTTGAGGACGAGGGTGTAGAGGTGGCGCTGGCAGCGGACCTTGAACTTGATCTGGGAGTTCTTGGTGCTCTTCTTGATGCGAGCGGCTATGATTCATGTACACGTTAGAAAATGCTGTTCCTTTTCTGGATCTTTCTCTTGTCCGAGATTCGAAGTTTATCTTCTAGTCGAAATAGTCGTTCGAGCGTCGGGTGTGTGATAGTGGGAGGAAGGGAATCAGGTCATGGCATACAGGAAGCGTCCTTTCTCCGGGCAATCTCAATGAACTACAGAAGCAGCAATTATTAGTCATTTTTCTCCCGGTGATATCTACAAGAACAATAATTCAACAGCACTGCAACGTACCTGCTTGATATCACCGATTTCGCGAGGCATCTTGGCGGTATTTTTCGGGGGGGATTGGCGACAACGAAGGGGGTCTTGTCTGGTCGGATTGAGTGGTTGCTGTCGTGAGACTTTCGTGGGCTTTTTTGGATGGAAAATTGATTTTGTGGGATGGACCCCTGTGGCAGCGAAATGCACGGACCAGCTCGAGTACTCGGCCGGGGAGAGAGAGACTCGATGCATCTTGCGAGGTTCGACCTTATCTTATCGGGGCGGGCTGGAACAGGTCGCCTGCCCGGGGGTCTGTCACCGACCACACCGAGGAGCGGAGTCGGGTCCCGTCGGGTCCCACGGATTTCCAGGTTCCTCCACAGCCACAGGCAGCAGTACCACACCATTACAGATGGGACGTCACTGTGGCACGCGTCACACGCCCCGAAAGCTCTCGGGGTAGACGTGGCGCTGGACCAGACCCTCGGCCTGTACCTTTCCTTACGCATGGGTTGACGACGCTTCAACTCGAACCAGTTTATAAACGAACACGTCGCATAACACGTTACCAAAGGTGTCCTCTAAGCTTTTCGCATACCTTATAATCGGTGCTCTTTCTGCTCCTATTCGCCGCGTCGAAAACCTGAGGTTCTGGCCATTAGTTGCACAAGACATACTGTCACTGCACCGCCACATCTACACACGATGCCTACACCACTAGACAATGCCATGAGATCCAGGGTCCGTACCTTATCACAATGATTGCATTTAGTTGCTCTGCTAATACGTTCTTAGAATGCCGTACTCGGTAAAGCAACATATAATCGCACACGAAGACCCAAGTGCTGACCATTCACTAGCATTCGGCGGCTTGGTCACAGCCGTAGCCGTATGGGCCATCTACGGCGGCGACATGTTCCCCGCGGGGCCGGATCCCACAGGCAACCCCGAGGACTGGACCAGAGAGGAGATGAGGAGGTGGCTTGCGGCGGTATTTGCAGCTCTCTTCTCCGTCTCCGTCATTGTGTACTTACATGTAACATAGCGAAACCTGTTTCCGCAGGACAACGACACGAGAGAGGAGCTATTGGCACGCGTGCTGGCCAACATGAGAGCCCCGAGGCGATGAGCTGGTGGGACGGAAACTTGTAGTTTGCTTTCACTGCGTAAAACGATTTATTCCATTCGCTTTCTTGACCCGACGAGTCACCTGCCGGTTCGTTGGGTGACCTAGTAGTAATACAAATATGTCTGCGGAGTGTGAACCCCGAAAATGCTCTTGAAAGACGCAAGCACTCTATTCAGCTAACTTCCCCTTTACAACTCGTCTCTTCCAGAGGTCTTGCCCACGGTGGGCTCCTCCGATGTGACCTTGCCCGTAGACTTCCAGTTGAGCGCATTGAGGCGCTCCGACAGGTGCGGGTGGGAGAAGTGGTAGGTCGCGTACATCCAGTCGGCGTCCATGGAGCTGAGGTTCTGGATCTGGAGCTTGAGGAGTGATCTAGCCAGCTCAGCAGAGTATCCGAGCTTCTGGGCAAACGCGTCGGCCTGGAACTCGTACTTGCGGCTCAGGATGTTCATGAGCAGCTTGACGACGGTGTCCATGGGGGAGAGCGCATCGGAGAAGAGGATGAAGCCGATGATGATGGGGTGCTCCGTGAGGAAGCCAAAGTCGGCGTACAGGGAGTTGTTGCTGATGAAGACGGAGAAGAGGGCGAAGATGTAGAGGAAGTGGGCCTATCGCTGTTAGTGAATGCTGTTGCGCCGGTGGACTGCAGAAACATACCTGAGAGATGCCAAAGAGGCGCGTGGTGTGGCCGAGACTCCAGTGACCAAGCTCGTGAGCCAGAACGGCAACAACCTCCTGCGTCTCGCTCTTCTCAATGAGGGTGTCGTAGATGACAATGTGCTTCTTCCAGGGAAGACCGAAAAAGTAGGCGTTGCTGTGGGCGCTGCGCTTGCTTCCGTCAATCACATAGAGTTCGTGGAGGGGGAAGTTCAGGCTCTTGGCAAGGCTCTCAACGCCGTTCTTCAGTTCACCCTCTTCCAAAGGCGACAGCTTGTTGAATAGAGGCAGGATGGCGACCGGGTAGATTGTGATCATGAAGACTTGGAGACCAGCGGCGAAGGCCCAGAGGTAGAAGAAAAACTGGTTGCCCGTCTTCTTGACAATGGAGAGGAAGCCGGCAAGGATCGGGGGAGCGAGGACAAAGGCGAGGAGCTGAGACTTGATCATGTCGGTGATGAAGAGCTTGGGCGTCTGCTTGTTGAAGCCAAACTTCTCCTCCAGCACAAAGGTCTGGTAGATGGAGCTAGGCAGCGAGAGGACCTGCTGGATCATGATGAAGGCGAGGACGAAGACGATGGACTGAGATATCTCGCCGGTGAAGCGCGCCGGCGCGAACTTCAGCAGCAGGTGACCGGACCATGACCAGAGCTTGGGGAGGACGTCGAACTGGATAAAGGCAATGTTCTGGATCTGACCCCAGAGACCGCTGATGAAACCGAATTCCGCTTTGGCGCGACCGTAAGCCTGAGACTTGTCGAAAACTTCCTGGGAGACTTCCTGTTCGAGAACCTTGGGGGGCTTGGTGTTTTTGAGGACCTGGTACTGGCGGAGCGAGAGGAAGCTCTCAAAGACGAACTGGCCGACCGAGAAGCCGAGGATGAGGCGCTTCCACGGGAAGAGGGGTCGGTCCAAGAACCGCGCGAGGCGTTGAAGAAAATCCATGTTGGCCTCTCTTTGCTTTTCTTCGGATTCCGGAGGGGTTGCAAAGGAGGGACAAGAATGGAATATATGGGATTGGAGATGAAAAGAAGCAGGCTCCGGACCTTGTCGCAAGCTGGGTCTGACAGCTCGTGCTTGGGTACGGAGTATTGTTAGCTCAGGCAAGCTGTCCACAGTGAGCCGGCGAATGGGACCAAGTGGGGGCGGGCTGGTGCGGTTCGGGGCCTGCGGCTGCCGGCAGGGTCGATCATTGGCTGCGAGGACTCCAGCTTACCCCAACTTTAATTGGCTGAAACACCCGCCTCATGCAATGTCTTGCGTGCAGACGAAAGCCCCGTCCGAACGGTGGAACCCCGTTTGATGCATGAGCGACGGGAACTGCCGTTGGATTGCAGGAAAGTCTTCCCGCAAAATCTCGAAGCTGTCGATAGTGTCACTTTGAGCTCCACGCCGCTCGACGACAACCATACAATTGCCGCCAAGATGATGCGCCAATCCATCACAGGCCTGACGAGGGCTGTTCTCGCCCGTCCGGCTACCCAGCCGGTGCGCGTCGTCATTCAATCGACATCACAAAGGTGTGCCTCAACCCCTTAGCAGTAGGTGAAGATAGTAACTAACCGGCACCATAGGACGTTCTCCTCCCTCCCCTCGCTGCGTCCGTCCATCACACCTCTCACATCCGCCTTCCGCCGGCCGAATGCCACGCCGTTCACTCCCTCGACCGTCGATGGCGCCATTGCCGACTTGGTCCCCACGAGCGCCATCACCGAGCACCCTGCTCTGGGCGCCATGCAGCTCCGCTGCGGTCCTCGCAACACCATGAACCGCAACACCCGCCTGATCCAGAAGCGCAGACACGGCTTCGTTTCCCGCATGAAGACCAAGGACGGACGCAAGATCATTGCACGGAGGCGCCAGAAGGGCCGCACGAAGCTCGGCGTTTGAATGTAACGTGGGAGGATAGAGCTACGGAGAACCGTGGAAAGGACCAGACGACATTGCTGCAGATGAGGAGAGAAGGGCACGATTGTCCCAGACAGAGTTCTCAGGGATGGTGTGGCCAAGGTTGGGCATGGCCTAAGCCGGATTGAAGAAAGACTCCAACATTAGAGCCTCCGCGAGAGGTAGTGTTCAATATGTATCAATATGAAGCCAATGTACAACAACTCAACCAGTAGGTTTCAGGGAATTCGTTGAATTCTGCGGAAACAGCTAGCAGGGCTCGTGAGGCTGCTCGCTAGCCGTTGACATCTTCGGCATTGCGCAGGCCGCTGCACCCAACGGTCATTTTACGCATCTGTCTGCAAGGTTCAGGTCGAGACAGTGGTTCTCTGTGCCGAGAGTGAAGAGGTTATGTTCCTGGCCATGAGGCGCCCTTAATCGCAGTCTCTTGGCCACGGCGGACGAGTATCAAGCACTGAGAAGCCATCAACGTAGCGAGACATTCTGTTCGGTCATTCTCGAATAGGCCCTGGCAAGTTCCATGACATATATCATTCTCTTGAAATTGCTAGCATCTGTTCAAAGCTACTATGTCGTGCCCGCATCCTTTCCAACTGTTCCCCTGCCGGGCTTAAAGGGAAGAAGCGGCCAGCAGCATTGGATATCGGCAGCCCCTATCGTAATCCGAAGCAAGCCGGACTTTTTTCCGCACAGCTGGCAAGGTTATGATGCTTCTCAGACCTGCTTATCAGATATGGAAAACCTTTTGATCTTCCTGGACCCCAGCTGTACTCCGGACAGCATAGACAGTACAAAAAGAAAAGAAACGGTATCTCGATCTGTCCGGGTGTCACATGATTCGACGCATCCAGGGATGGAGGGTTCCACGGTCCAGATCAACATTCGTCATAATTGGGCAAGCTCAAACGCGTTCTGCGCGCGTCGTCGGATGGAAACGCAAAGAACTCATAGCTCTGCAACTTTTTAACTTTCGATAGTGACATCCATCGGTGGCTCTACCCGACATGGAAGTCCTACGGTTCTCAAAAAAAAAACGGCTCCTCGTTCAAAGTGCCATAGTTGAAGCTCTCTTGTTTCTTGTTTCCCACCTAGTGAAATAACTATTCCCTGTGAGACTCACTTACACATTCATCCGTGCCCCAAGACAACCCCTTAATGCCTCCTAAAAGACACTCAACCGGAGCGGCGTCCGGTGCCAGTAAGAAGCCCAAGACTACGGCTCCCGAGGCCGAGGCCTCTTCACCTGCACCCGCAGCTGCCCCTGCTGATGACGACCGCGGTAAGAATCGCTGGCCAGCCAAGAATACTCGCTGGTCGGCGGTCTCGGCCTCACGTAACGCCGATGAGGACTACAAAAAGGCTTGCGAAGAGGTTGCCTATGCCTTTGAATACGTAGTCCGGTGTTCCTTTGGCACCAGGCATGGTGGTGACGAGGAAGACGACGAGGATGACGAGGACGAAGAGGAGGACGACGAAGAAGAGGAGAAGGAAGAGCCTCAAGCCAAGGGCAAGGGCAAGGGCAAGTCCAAAGTAGCCGACGAGAAGAAGGCCACCGCACAAGGCAAAGCCAAAGACGAGCAGCAGCACCTCGCCTACGTCGAGCTCGAGAAGAAGAAGCCCAAACAGAAATGCGACGGCGGCAAGACGTGCGTCTGCAACAAGCCGGCGGCCGAGCACCCGGACGCGCCCTACGTGATCACACACGCCGGCTTCCGCAAGCTCATGAGCCAGCAGATTCATTGCCAGGTCCGCGACCCGGACAGCTTCCGCATGTACACGTACACCGACCACATGGCCTACGGCGTGCTGCAGGTGCTGCAGAACCTCGTCCTCGACTACGAGGAGGCGAAAGGGAGCTGGCGGGAGCAGTGGGTTATCTGCGAGGCGCTGTGCCCGTTTATTTGGTACCTGAATGGTGGTGACTTTGCCATGTAAGTTCAAGAGTCACGTTGTACTTCCTTCATTCCTCCTTGCTAGCACGTCGTACTGATACGATGAAATCCAGGGCCGACGACGGCGAGTTCGTCGACGAAACAGCAAAACTCATCGGCAACCTCTTCCTCACAACCCTCGCCCGCCTCGAGCGCGAGGGCGTCCTGGCCGCGGACTCGGAAGTAAAAGACCTGGGCTGCGTCATGGCCGGCATGCTCAAAGTCGCCTCCGCCTTACGCGGCTTCGACCTCTTGCAAAACGAGACCGTCCACAAAAAGTCCAAGAAGCGTCCTTTCCCCTTTACGGCGGAGAAATTCGACAGCTACGTTGCAGCGTACGCCAAGAAGCACGGCATCACGCTCAAGGGCGTCCCGGGGCTGAAGGTTCTCATTGAGGGTCTCGATAACGAGGAGGAGGAGCTGCCTACAGCCGAGGAACACGGCGAGGACCCCTGGGGGTGGGCGGATGCGTTGGCTTCGTATAAGAAGGGGAGGAAGATTGGGGGGGACGATTTGGATATCACGTCGTGGACGCCTGCGAAGCGGAAGCAGCATGCTTTTAACAAGAAGAATCCGCTTGGGAAGAAGGAGATTGACGCTATCAAGAATGGTATGGTTATGATGCTGGGTTAAGAGTTGGGGTTGATGACTTGTGTTGGATCAAACGCAAGTTTGGGAGCTGCTTTTGTGATTGTAGTCTTGAGAGATACCACCCTTGTATTATTAAATTGGAACTGCTGAGATCAAATCCGAAAGTTTGACTATTTCACGACAGTTCCCATTGACGCCGCTCTTTCTACGGGAGACTCGATCCTAACGTTCTGGCCACTATCGGCTGACAACAATCAACCAACCCTACCACAAGAGTTTGAAGGAGAGTTCAGAAGATGAACTGCACAAAAGAACAAATCAAACAGGGCTAGCCAGTCCAGCCTCACACGTCTTGGTATCCGTATAACAAGCCAAGAACAACTTGTCACTCGCCTCCCCGATCCAAATCTTATACCGCCCGGTAGGATTCGGCACAACCCAGTTCTGGCTGACCACATCCCACACGCTCAAATCCCGCCTCGTCAGCTGCAGCGTCACGGTAGCACTCTCCCCCGGCGCCAGGCTCTTCGTCTTGACAAAGTCGCGTAGCTGGATCACCGGCGTCTCGGGCCCGCCGCCGGGGAACTGCACGTACGCCTGCGCTGACGCTTTACCCGAGTACTTACTGCCCGTGTTGGTCACTTTCACCGACACGGAAAAGACAACGTCAAAGAGAGCGGGGTTGCCGCCCTGCGCGCCGCCAGCTGGAGGGCCCGGTTTCTGCGCGGTGCTGTACCCCTCCGGGTAGGGATACGTCTCCGTCTTGGAGGCGGCGACGGCGTCCTTGGCCTCGGACTCGGTGCACCAGGAGTAGATATACCGGAAGATCTTGTTGAAGCCGGACGGCGCGACGCCCTCGGTCCAGTCGGGGATGGGCGCGGTGTACGTCAGGATCCCTTGCTTTGCGGGGCGGGCCGGCGGGGACGCGGTGAGCGCCGTCGCGGAGCTGATGGTCGCGCCGGTGTAGGAGAAGGCGGTGTAGCTCAGCCCATGACCAAAGGCGAAGCGCGGCTTGATACCGTTCTTGTTGAGGTAGCGGTAGTCGATGTACAGGCCCTCGGAATAGGTGTCCTGGGGCTGGCCGAGGGAGCCGCCGACGAGCTGGGTCACGGAGTCTGGGAGGTCGGATTCCTTCTTGGTCATGCTGTAGGGGAGGTGGCCGGAGGGGGAGGCCGCGCCAAAGACGATGTTGGCGAGGGACTCGCCTGCCTCCTGGCCGGGGAGGTGGGCAACCAGGACGGACTTGACGCTGGGAAGATCGATCCACGAGTCGACGACGATTGGTCCGACAGAGTGTATGACGACCACGACGTTTGAATACTTTGCGGCAGCGTCCTGGACCAACTTGTTGCCGTTGTGCCAGGCGTCGAGACCAGACGAGCTGCGGTCACCGTTGTTACCCTCTACGACATACTGATTCTCCCCAGAGTCCGAGGTGATGAATACAAAAGCAACATCGTCTGCTGTTGGAGCCGGCACGGAAGGAAAGGAGTCGGTGTTGTAGAACGTCACGTTGCTGGCTCTCTTCTTAATCGCGGTGATGGGATCGTCGAGGTAGACGTAGTCAACCGTCCCCGAGCCCCAGCCGATACCGAGCAGGCCCTTGTTGCAGGATCGATCGGCACAAGCGTTGGGGCCGTCTGGGTTCGTAATGGCATCGGTGCCAAAGACTTTGATCGAAGCCGACGTGGCAATGGGCAGAAGGCTGCCGTTGTTCTTGAGCAGGGTGATGGCCTCCTGCGCGACCTGCCTGGCGACGAGGTAGTGGTCCGCCTGCACCTGGACCATCTCGTTGACGACGCCGCTGGGGGAGAAGGGGATGGCTCCCGGGTAGAGATCTCCCACCCTGTTGCGGGTTCCCGTGGCGAAGTTGAGCGCGGGGAAGCCCGAGTCCTGGCCCATCTGGTACCAGCTCGCCAGTACTCTGGTGGCCATGTCGTTGATGCGATCCACGGGGACGGATCCGTTCAGCACCGCCCTGGTGAGATCGTACATCCAGTAGCTGTAGCCCGTCAGGGGAACTTGCTGGTCACCGGGGGCGTTGAAGTCCAGGCCCGCGAGGGCGCTGCCTACGCCGGACATGTGGGAAAGCCAGTCGCTCATGACGAAGCCTTGGAAGCCGAGCTCGTCTTTCAGAATGCCATTGATGAGATAGCTGTTCTGGCTGCATGCCGAGCCGTTGACCTGGTTTCCGTTAGTTCAAGTTTCAATGATGTGTACGGAATACTTGCCGCATTGTAGGCCGTCATCACGGATCCTACACCTGCGTGTACGCCATCTGCAAAGGGCCACAGGTAGAGTTCATGGAGTGTTCGGTCATCTGTCGTTGTTAGTCGAGAGACCAATCACCGTTTCTCTCTCTGTCGGTAACCAACCAATGTTGGAGCTATAACCCTGCTGTAGAGGGTTATACATGCGATACATCTCCTGCTCGTTGCCGATGAGATGCTTGATCGTGGCGATGACGCCCTGCTCCTGGACGCCCTTGATCGTTAGAGCAGCAGCCTTGCCCTGCAGCGCAGGATCGGCCCCGAAGCCCTCCCAATTTCGGCCACCACGGGGCTTTCGACTGGCGTTATGGTTAGCTTGTTCTGGACGACATCATCAGGGGCAGAACATACCCTATGGGACCCACGGCTGGTCCTAGGTAAACGTTGGCGCCTTTGCCTCGGAATTCCTTGCCTATGGCAACACCGCGAGCGTACATCAGGTCCTTGTCAAAGGTGGCACCGGTCGTGATGCCGGACGGGAAAACCGTCACGTTGTCGGCTTGACGGAGACCGGTTGCCGAGTCCGCGAGGCATAGCTGGGGGAAACCGACACGCAAAGCGCTGCCGGAGTTTCCAACGCAGCGGCTTGGCTATGGTTAGCAGGAGTTATACATGGTGTGATGATAAACGCACCCTGTGCATGTCAGTTACGAATCCCACGACATCACTCCACCAAGACTCACCCATGAAGATGCCGGTTCCGGACGTGATGTTGGTCTTTTCAGCCAACGTCATCTTATCAACCACAGCTTTCGCCCTCTTATAACTGTCTGTCCAGTCCGAGGTCCAGCCGCCGTACGGCGCCGGGTAGTAGGGCGCGGCGACATATCCGGCAGGCACATCGGATCTTACTGATATCACGGCGGCGTCGCAGGATGAGAGGTGACTAGCGAGGAGGGCTACGACCAGGGACTTGACAGAGAATGTGTTTGCCATGGCGGCGGTCGATTGGTCTCGTTACCGCAAGGCTCTTATAGGCTAGACTCGAACCAATGGTACAGGTCACGAGAGAGAGAGAGAGAGCTACGTCAACACGAGCGGACGAACAGGAGCTACAGAAAATGCGACATCGCGAGCACCGCCATTCACTTATATACTACGCACGGAATATCTAGGCTACTGGCGGACCGGTAGCTCTCACTTGTCATTATGACTATACACTCCAATCACGGGCCCTTACAGTCCGCGTGGTATAGAAGGCAAGTGACAACAGACGATCCGCTTGGCAGCTCCGTGGACTCTACTGACCGCAGGGATATGCAGCCATACCTGACAGCTCATGATGCCCTGATAGCTACCAGAAGGGTCCAAGAGCATTAGAAAAAGGCAGATATTGCAACGTATCAAGGTTGTGGGATGCTCCCTTTGGGCAGCTGTGCTGGATTGTTCGGGCCTATGCTTGTCAAATATGAGCGTTAGAGTGGTCGATCGACATGTCGCGTAGACAAAGTATGGTTTGATACGACAGCGCCAGCGATAAGTCAGTGCAAGGCGGGGGAAATACCACCCTTTTCGAGATTCTGTGCTGTAGTCTTTTGGTACAAAGGATCGATTCGGTGTCGAACCGGATTAGCGGCCGAAACCGCCTCGCTTCGGGCGGGAGTTGGTAGGTGGGAACCTGGGACTTGGAGTTAAGCGACGGCATTCGCAAGTCCCCGGGGAACAGTGACAGTTCAGAGTCGGGCTTTCCAGCGAGGGCGTTGAGAGGAGCGGTGGGTATGACAAGATTAAGCCGTGAAGAAGACCCACGCTCGAGGCCCAAAGGGTCGACAAGACGGCGATGATGACCGTAAATGTTGACATGGCCGATCCAAGGTGGCATGCAAACTGGATGTGAAGATCTCCCTTGTTACGTGCAGGGTGGGCGCTTGGTGGGAATGCCTGGCGAGCTGTGAGCGGTCAGCAAACTGTAAAAGGGAAAAATACTGCTCGTCCGGGCTCGGCTCCGACGCGGGGAGAGCTGTCAGTCTGTCAGTTTGTGGCCGGGCGTTGCATTGCGCGCGTGGTTCACTGGCAGGCCACAGATGTCTATTTCCTTGAATAAGTGCATATGCAGCATCGTAAATGGGTGTGTACCATCGGAGTGGTGGTACAAGACGGACCTCGTGATACCCCAAGAGGTCTCTGCCTGGGGTCTGCCACGTCCACCAGATCGAGTCCAGGGCACTGCTGAAATTAGGAAACTCGCAAGCGAAGAGCACCAGGCGGTCGGAAATCCCAAACTCGGTCCAGCGGCGAAGATCGATGGGGCAGGGGTCAGGGGTGACGGAGCGCAGATTTCGGCTCTTGTTCTGCACGGAAAACGGGAATCGATCAAAAGGCAAGGTCGGTGGAAGCGGCACGGCATGAACGGCAATCTTGGGAAGAAAGAAGGCCAAATGTCGGTTCGAGAGATGGCGCAGTGATAGCTGAACGAGATGAGTGGTAGTGTCCGATATGTCGTAGCTGATAGCTGCAACGTCGACTGGTCGTGAGGGGGAGGCATTGAGGACGTATTGGTCCAAGAGACCAAGTGATGGAGGGCGAGGAAGAGGTCTCGTGGGCGCGGACTCCGGATGACAACCCTTCTTTCTAGAATGTCTCAACCCCGCGTTGCTAGGTCGACATCTGATCATCAGGTACGGGTGGCTCGGTGGGAAGAAGGGACGAATCGACGATGGACCGTTGACCGTTGGCCGTTGATCGTTAGAACTGGGAGGGTGTGGGTAGGTGGATGAAGGAGGGAGAGTCTGCTGTAGTGTAGGCACTAAGGTAGACAGACGTAGAGAGAAGCTGACAAGGACGGCATCACGGCATCCATGAATGAAGCTGCCGCACACCTATCGTGTAGGGTCTAGAGACAAGAAGGAAGCTGCGAGATTCAGCTCCGAAGCTCCCAAGCCCCCAAGAGGCGGCAGGAAGCAGCATGACATTACGCTGCCGCCGACCCCAAGTCTCCAAGCCTTTTCATCCCACCTCCATCTCACTCTACCGTAATCTAGTGGCTTTGGTGTTGCATCTGCCATCCATCTCAGCTGCATCTTCCCGTCTTTAATCACATCCACATGCTTTTTCTTTGCAAATACTCTTGCCAATAGTCTGTAGGCGTACCTTAATGCCGACAACTATGGGCGTGATGGAACTTGTTCTGCCTGACCGACCTCCATACTCGATTGGGAGGAACGAACCGTGGTACGAGAGCATTCGTCCGCGTGATGCCTCGAGAGCGGCTCTCCAGCGTAGAGGGCCGCGTATCACCACACGAGAATCCCGATTTGGTTTTACGTATCTTGGTCTTGGCTTTGGACTTGACTTACGACACTAATCGGAAAATTCAAACTCGCACAAGACCACATTGGCAGTATTTTGTTGAGCTCTTGCGGGCCTCGTCCAGGGACTCGCCCGGGGGCCGGCGGGCTTCTTCCAGCAATCGGCCGACCGCAATTGACCACCAGTTCGTTCGAACAAGGACCATTCGGCCAGCTTCATTAACAACTTGTTCCCGGTGCGGACGCTATTGTTTCGACAGAGCCCAACAGAAGTGGGAATTGCCCAGCTTCACCCCGGCTCGTCGCCGTCCAGGGACCATCCACTCAGTCGTCGTTGTTCAATGAGCGGCAAGCCCACTATGGGGATGCTTGGCTCACGTGGCGCCAAATGGCACCCCAGGATCGCAGAGTTATTGAGCAGAAACTCTCATTGCTTGTCTCTCAGTCTCTGTCTTTGCACTACGGATACCCAAGGATCGAGATGTCTTTGTCTGACCGCACGGGCGCTTCCTTACCACCTTGACGGTCCATCAACCTCATCACACCCACGTGGATTCTGTTCCTCATGGTTGGACTGATTCAAGACCAATATCACTCGAGGCTTGCTACTAATCACTCCGAACCGCTGACCTGCTACCAATACTTGGCTATAGCGGCCAGAACCAGGTCTTGTCCTCTTGTCTGTCTGACGAGGCCACCCAATGGTCAAAGCTGTCTATCCCGTACTGCCGCCCCCCCGGTAGGACCTCTTGAGCTTGGCCCCTTGCTAGATGGAGTATGGAACCGCCTTCTCCAAGAACGCATCTCTTCCATTCGCAACTGGCGCTTCTAGTGCCGATTTCCGCCGCTCTGTGCCTGGCGAGATTGCTCTAACTTGCGGAGGAACTGCCAGAAACCGCAAAGTCTTGCGTATTGTTTGCTTTAGCGTGAGAAGTCTCACCCTGGCTCGCATATCCCCAATATCGAGGGGAGTTGCTTTGCTACCGGCCCCCAACCTCGCCCGAGCCATGAATGCTTGACTTGGAGGCATGGTGGACACTCACCGCAACCCTTACAACAGACCGTTGTCTGGGGTGTACGACTCGATGTCGATCCACTGGCCTCTTTACCCCGGTGCTCCGTTCGTTGCTCTCTTGATTATGTATAAGACGTTGCGGCAGCGTGGAGGACGATAGCTTGCCTTGTCTCTCTGTTCGTTGTGCCTCACGAGAAAGTCCTCGAGTTCCGTCCCTGTTCCTGTTGTCTTGAGTTGCTTCCTCTACCGTCATCATGTTGGCCAAGCTGTCTCTTCTCCCTTTGCTGTCTGCCGCAGTCTCGGCATCTCCCCTCCTCGATGTCAGAGCCCCGGTGGCTGCTCTCGATGAGAGAGCCGTGACGGTGTCGAGCGCCGACCTGTCCAACTTTGAGTACTACGTTCAGGTAGGACATTGCCCAGACTTCTGACTTGTCCGCGTGCGCTAACATGTAACATAGATGGTGGCAGCAACCTCTTGCAACAGCGAGGCCGCCGCTGGTGCATCAATCACCTGCAGCGCCGATGCTTGCCCTGATGTCACCGCCAACGGAGGAAAGATTGTGGGAACCTTTTCGTAAGTTGACCAGATACTCCTGGCTTTTCACCTTTGACCTGAAGGTAACTAACACGCTTCAGCGGTCTTGTCTCTGGCCTCCAAGGCTTCGTCGCCACGGATCCCGTGAGAAAGAACATTGTCATTGCCATCCGCGGCTCCAGCAACGTCCGCAACTGGATCACCAATATCCTCTTCGGCTTCGACGACTGCGACTTTGTCGACGGCTGCAAGGTCCACACCGGCTTCGCAAACGGCTGGGACGAGATCAAGGACGCCCTCCTGGCCTCCGTCAAGTCCGCAAAGGCCGCCAACCCCAGCTACACCATCGTCGGCACCGGCCACTCCCTCGGCGGCGCCGTCGTCACCATCGCCGCCGCCGACCTCCGCCGCGACGGTTACCCCGTCGACATCTACACCTACGGCAGCCCCCGTGTAGGCAACGCCGCCTTCACCAACTTCGTCACCGCCCAGGCCGGCGCCGAGTACCGCGTCACCCACGTCGACGACCCCGTCCCCCGCCTGCCCCCCATCCTCTTCGGCTACCGCCACACTAGCCCCGAGTACTGGCTGTCCACCGGCAACGCCACCACCGTCGACTACGCCGTCGCCGACATCAAGGTATGCGAGGGCGCCGCCAACACAAAGTGCAACGGCGGCACCTTTGGCCTCGACGTCGACGCCCACCTGTACTACCTCCGCCGTACGGGCGCCTGCAGCACCGACGGCTTCGGCATCAAGGAGAGAGAGGAGGACATCTCGGACGAGGACCTCGCTGCGCGCCTGACGGCCTGGGCCCAGCAGGATATCGAGTACGCCGCGTCACTTGAGGAGTAAGGAGGACGACGGCATGCCGTATACACGAAAGAAATTAAATGTCATGACCATGTTATGAAGGGCAGGGAAGCGGGCTTCTGGAGTTTTAGGGGAAGCATCATCATCATCAACAAGGATACCATCAAGGGATATCCCCAAGCCATTGCGGCCAAAGGAGATATCGTCAAGACTATTCACGTACATAATTAGTATAGTACATAATCCACGCCCAGCGTCAACCTGGGCGTTGAACCGCACCACTTCTTTCCTCTGAACAAGCTGTGAAAACAATGACCCTATCTGTGACGGTCAAAAGAGCCGTACCAGCACCGTCAGCACGATTCCACGAGTGGGACGCACCCCGGACGGGTACCGAGTCCGGACACACATAACCCCCCTCCCCATGTCATCGACTGACTCGCAAGTCCCGTTAACTAAAAGACCGCGCGGTACCCGATCGAGCAAAGTTCGTATCCCATATTCCCAAACCGCGTGTTTTCCTTTGTTTCAGTCCCAGCCGTACTAAGAATGGCACTGGCGCGTTGGAACGGAACGGTTGTGTTACGTATATATTGGCCGCTTGGCATCGCGAACTACTGTGGTATGGTACAGGATAGACTTTCCCAGAACGAACCATTCCACTCACCTGAAGCCTGTGGGGATTGAATAACCATTGGGAGTATCTTTCCGGGATTTCCAATACTCCGTACCCTGGTACGTAAGGCCCCTACATAACCCAGCGCCCACGTGCGGAGTTTGCGGATCATGGGCCCATGGGTGCTGACATTGCTGACCGGCCAGTTGATTATACGGCACTGTATGGCTCCTCATAGTCACTAGCATTGCGATCAATATTTGCTGATACCTAATTTCTGAATCTATTGTCCAGATGGAGAAACAAAGAACCACCCAGCTGAACGCTGAGAGTATCTACCTGAAGTAATGGGCCACACCCATACACACAAGGTGTTCCATCCGTGAACCACGCCATATTTGCAAATCGAAAAGGGGTATAGGAAGAAGAGAACGACGCACGCCCGACTCCGATGATGGGGGCTGGGTACTACAGTCCCAATGTCCTTATCCTTTCCGTCTGCCCTGCCTTGTCCTCAACGCCGCCCTGGGGGAAACCACAGAAATCCACTTTTTGCGGGAAAACACAATGATGAAAGAAATTTTGCAGACGAGCTAAAAGTCTAAGAACCACGGAACAGGAATTGCATGTCCTCGGGGCTCAGAGACTCCATGGCCTTATCGTCCGCGTTGACGGTGGAGTTGATCATGTTGGTCTTCTTCTCCTGAATCAGCACCATGCGGCTCTCGACCGAGTCCTCGATGCAGAGACGGGTAATGGTGCAGGGGCGGGTTTGACCAATGCGGTGGCAACGGTCGGCAGACTGCCACTCGGCGGCAGGGTTCCACCAACTGCATGTCATGTTAGCTGGGAACTTGATAGTGAGTATTGAGACATGTAACTTACGGGTCAACGATGAAGACGCGAGACGCCTCGGTGAGGTTGAGCGCGACACCACCGGCCTTGAGAGAGACGAGGAAGCACTCGCACTCCGTCTTGGTCATGAAGTGGTCGATGGACGCCTGACGCTGCGCGGGGCTCATGCTGCCGTCAAGCATGACGGTGGTGATACCGGCGCGACGAAGACGCCACTCGATGAGCTGCAGCATGGATGAGAACTGTGAAAAGATAATGGACTTGTGCGAAGCGTTGTCTGATCGAAGCTTGTGAAGCTCGTGGACGAGAAGCTCAATCTTGGAGGAAGAAGTCCATTCTTCCATCTTGATTCGATTGATAATCGAAGACTTCTTGACATCAGCCTCATTCTGCTCAATCTCGGGCTGCTCCAAGTCGATGGCCAGCGCAATGTGGCAGCGGGGGCAGTCAGGCTCAGCAGAAGACAACAGGTAGCTTCTAGCACACGCGCGGCAAAAGTCGTGCTTGCAGCGGCTCCTGATGGCATCCTCGGCCGGCTCATCGCAAACGCCACACATGAGTGTGTTCTGCCCGCCCTCTCCATGCTTGCGAAGGATCAGATCGGGGTGATCGGCCACCTGGCGCATCTGCATGATGAGACCAAA